CCCCCCAAACGGCCCAAGAGGGCCCCAAGACGGCCCAAGAGGCGCCCAAGACGGCCCAAGAGGGCCCCACGACGGCCCCAAGAGGGGGACCACGAACCGACAAGTCTAGCCTTTCGCCCCAAGACGCTCCCAGGAGGCCCCCACAGACCCCCAAGAAGCCCCAAGAGGCCCCCAAGGGGCCACCAGGAGGGCCCGAAAAGGGCTCCCAAAAGGGCTCCCAAAGGGCCCAATAGATCTCCCAAGAAGGCCCAGAGACGCCAAATAGAGAGCGATCGGTAACGCAAAAAGGTCTTCACACCAAGGCTACCAAGAGCGAACTGTGACGTAAAGAAGCTGATAAGACCAAGGCTCCCAGCAGAGAGCGGTGACGTAACAAGTTCCTGACACCAAGGCCCAGCCAAGGCTCAGGAACGGGCGGCAACGCAACCATCTCTGAACACCAAGGCTCCCACGATCGAGGGGTGACGTAACCAGCTCTCAACGCCAAGGCTCCCGGTACGAACGGTGGTGTGAGTCATTTCGGTTTTTGTTGCTGCAGCGCTCTTTCCGTTTCTGTGCCGGGCCAGGTGACGGAAAGAGCGAGGTACGAGCGATGACGTTGTGTTTTGGGCGAAGCCCCTCAAGGGGGGTTCCAGGGGGGTGCGTAGCGGGAGCGGATGGCATCTTTTGGCCGTTTGGGGGGTTGTCCTTAGGGTTTTTGCATACTTTTCGGATTTCTCCGTTTTTCCGTCCCAGAAGAGCCCAAGACCGCCCAAGACAGCCCCAAGACGGCCCAAGAGGCCCCCAAGAGGCCCCAAGAGGCGCCCAAGGGGCGTCCCAAGAGGGCCCCAAGAAGCCAAAATCCTAGATTTTCCAAGGGAAAACGTACATTTTTAGCATACACGGCTTTTCGGCTTCCACGGCGTTGACGACGGCCCAAGAGGCCCCCTAAGACCGCCCCAAGACGGCCCAAGAGGCTCCCAAGAGGCCCCCCAAACGGCCCAAGAAGGCCCCCAGACGGCCAAAGAGGCGCCCAAGACGGCCCAAGAGAGGGGGGGACCACGAATCGCAAAGTCTAGCCTATCGTCCCAAGACGCTGCCGGGAGGTCCCCAAGAGGCGTCCCACGAGGCCGAAATCATATATATATATATATATATATATATAGGAAACGTACATTTCTAGCATACACGGCTTTTCAGCTTGTACGGAGTTGACGACGGCCCAAGAGGCCCCCAAGACCGCCCCAAGACGGCCCAAGAGGCTCCCAAGAGGCACCCAAAACGGCCCAAGAGGGCCCCCAGACGGCCCAAGAGGCGCCCAAGACGGCCCAAGAGGGCCCCAAGACGGCCCCAAGAGGGGGACCACGAACCCGACAGTCTAGCCTTTCGCCCAGTCTTGGGGGCCTCTTGGGCCGTCTTTGAGGGTCGGGAAGCCGAACACGCGAGAACGAATTATCCCGGCAAAGCAACCTAACATCGATGTGTAGGAGCATATCTGGAAGCATTCCCCTTAAGATTCGGATGAGAATCCAGTTGTAGAATTCTGCTGTTCTCGCAGTCGTAGTCGCATTCGCGATGACAGTCGCAGTGGCAACGGCAGTCGCAGTCACAGCCTCAGCCTCAGCCTCAGCCTCAGCCTGCCTCAGCCTCAGCCTGCCTCAGCCTCAGCCTCAGCCTGCTTCAGCCTCAGCCTCAGTCTGCCTTCAGCCTCGCCTCAGCCTCAGCCTGCCTCAGCCTCAGCCTGCATCAGCCTCAGCCTCCTCAGCCTGCCTCAGCATCAGCCTGCCTCAGCCTCAGCCTCAGCCTCAGCCTGCCTCAGCCTCAGCCTCAGCCTGCTTCAGCCTCAGCCTCAGTCTGCCTTCAGCCTCGGCCTCAGCCTCAGCCTGCCTCAGCCTCAGCCTGCATCAGCCTCAGCCTCAGCCTCAGCCTGCCTCAGCATCAGCCTCAGCCTCAGCCTCAGCCTCAGCCTCAGCCTCAGCCTCAGCCTCAGCTCAGCCTGCCTCAGCCTCAGCCTCAGCCTCAGCATCTCAGCCTCAGCCTCAGCCTCAGCCTGCCTCAGCCTCAGCCTCAGCCTGCCTCAGCCTCAGCCTCAGCCTGCTTCAGCCTCAGCCTCAGTCTGCCTTCAGCCTCGGCCTCAGCCTCAGCCTGCCTCAGCCTCAGCCTGCATCAGCCTCAGCCTCAGCCTCAGCCTGCCTCAGCATCAGCCTGCCTCAGCCTCAGCCTCAGCCTGCCTCAGCCTCAGCCTCAGCCTGCTTCAGCCTCAGCCTCAGTCTGCCTTCAGCCTCGGCCTCAGCCTCAGCCTCAGCCTCAGCCTCAGCCTCAGCCTCAGCCTCAGCCTGCCTCAGCATCAGCCTGCCTCAGCCTCAGCCTCAGCCTCAGCCTCAGCCTCAGCCTGCTTCAGCCTCAGCCTCAGTCTGCCTCAGCCTCGGCCTCAGCCTCAGCCTGCCTCAGCCTCAGCCCTCAGCCTCAGCCTCAGCCTCAGCCAGCCTCAGCCTCAGCCTCAGCCTCAGCCTCCTCAGCCTCAGCCTCAGCCTCAGCCTCAGCCTCAGCCTCAGCCTGCCTCAGCCTCAGCCTCAGCCTCAGCCTCAGCCTCAGCCTCAGCCTGCCTCAGCCTCAGCCTCAGCCTGCCTCAGCCTCAGCCTCAGCCTCAGCCTCAGCCTGCCTCAGCCTCAGCCTCAGCCTCAGCCTCAGCCTCAGCCATCAGCCTCAGCCTCAGCCTCAGCCTCAGCCTCAGCCTCAGCCTCAGCCTCAGCCTGCCTCAGCCTGCCTCAGCCTCAGCCTGCCTCAGCCCTCAGCCTCAGCCTGCCTCAGCCTCAGCCTCAGCCTCAGCCTCTGCCTCAGCCTCAGCCTCAGCCTCAGCCTCAGCCTCAGCCTCAAGCCTGCTCAGCCTCAGCCTCAGCCTCAGCCTGCCTCAGCATCAGCCTGCCTCAGCCTCAGCCTCAGCCTGCCTCAGCCTCAGCCTCAGCCTGCTTCAGCCTCAGCCTCAGTCTGCCTTCAGCCTCGGCCTCAGCCTCAGCCTGCCTCAGCCTCAGCCTGCCTCAGCCTCAGCCTCAGCCTGCCTCAGCATTCAAAATGTGGCCCGGGAATGGAATTCTGGGAACTGAAGAACACGAAGTGGCCTACAGTTGGCTCCGGGCATTCAAAATCATGCCCGGGAATGGAGTTCTGGGAACTCGAAGAACACGAAGTGGCCTACAGTTGGCTCCGGGCATTCAAAATGTGGCCCGGGAATGGAGTTCTGGGAACTCGAAGAGCACGAAGTGGCCTACAGTTGGCTCCGGGCATCCAAAATGTGGCCCGGGAATGGAGTTCTGGGAAATAGAAGAGCACGAAGTGGCCTACAGTTGGCTCCGGGCATCCAAAATGTGGCCCGGGAATGGAGTTCTGGGAAATCGAAGAGCACGAAGTGGCCTACAGTTAGCTCCGGGCTTCCAAAATGTGGCCCGGGAATGGAGTTCTGGGAAATCGAAAAGCACGAAGTGTGTGACTGTATGCGAAAAACGATCCCCGCCGGCAAACCCCAACGGCCCCCCAACTGCCACCCAACTGCCCCCAACGGCTGCCCAGACCCCCCTGTGGAGTAATGTTGAAGTAATGTTGAAGTAATGTGCTGCTCTCTTTTTAGCCCATTAGAAACCTATCAGTCTTCGATGTTAGGTAAAAACTGACAAAACCCAATGGAAAATCATTGATTGCAAAATGCCTTACGGCCGGTGCCGCCGACCCTGAAAGGGGACGACGACGACAACGGCGGCGGCATCGACGACGACGACGTTGACGTGGGCCAGAGTCCTCAGGGATGCTTCTCGGGGTCTCTTCGGAAGGCTCTCGGGGGCCCCTGGGGAGGGCTTCTGGGGCCTTTTGTGAGCCTTTTGGGTGCCTCTCGGGAGCCTCTCGGGAGCCTCTACCGGGTTCCTGGGTACATCTTGTGGGCCTCTTGGTCCATCTTGGGAACCTCTCGGGGCCTCCTGGGAGACTCTCGGGGCCGAGGGCTCGAAATGTCCGTTCGGGTTCCCCGTCTGGACACGCTCTTGGAGTTGTCTTCGGGGCATCTTGGGCCGTCTTGGAGGCGTTTGGGGATGTCTTGGGGTCCTCTTGGGCTGTTTTGGGGCCCTCTTTGGAAGCCTCTTGGCCGTCTTGGGGTGATCTTGGGGGCCTCTTGGGCCGTCTTGGAGCGGCGGGAAAAGGAAAAGACGAGAACACCCAAAACAAACCAGTAACATCAATTCATTGTGCCTCTTGGGGCCCTCTCGGGGGTGCTCTTGGAGGCCTCTTGGGGCGTATTGGAGGCCTCTTGGGCAGTCTGAAGGGCGTGAGAGCGTTTTGGACCGATCGTTTGGCGAGTTGTGCCCTCTCGGACCGTATCGGGAGCCTCTTGGGGCACTCGTGGCCTGCCTTGGTACTTTCCGAGGCCCCGGGGCCCTCAGGGGGGAATGCGTATCTGACCACCCCCCTACCCCCCACGCCCGGGACCCCCTTTGGGATCCCCCCCAGGACCCCAGGCTGCCCTTCGACTCAATCACGACATTGCTAGATTTTTCTCTCGCTGACAGGCTTGAGGAGAAGGGTGCTAGACAGGGAAAGGGGACGACGAAGACGGCAATTGACGGAGACGACGACTCGAACAGACAAGCCCTTTGCACACGCCGACAGCGTCGGTTGATTTTGGCCTCATGAGGCCTCTTCGGAGGCCTCTTCGAGGCCTCTTGGGGCATCTTGGAGGCCTCTGAGACTGTCTCTGGGCCATCGTGGACGTCTTGGGGCGATCTTTTGGCGAGTCGGGACACTCTTGAGCGTCTTGGGGCCCTCCGGGTCCGAACGAGTCATGCGACAAGATGCGACGGGGCCCAGAAGGCACGCTGGTAACCCCAGGGGAACCGCGGGAAGCTCCAGTATATTCAAGAATGTGGGGTCTGGGCCCCTAACAGACTCCTCAGGAATGAGGGCTGAGGCTTAGAAGATTCGGCGAAAGACATGAGGGCACGCCCAGTCCGTGCCCAGAGGCACGGTGGCGGATAGAGCTGCCGGATGGGAGTACTCTGGGTGGTGGAAGTTCTTCGTGTGTCTGCTGGATGTCCTGCTGGTTGCCTTCCCAGACCATCTCAATGAGCAGTGGTTGCGCGTACTGCTCTCTGTGGAAATGCTCGCCGCTGTGCTTAGAGCAATGACTTTCTTGTGCGCCCTCGAGACTGCTCGGGTAGGTCTCCACATTTTACCCGTGGTAGAGAGCTTTAAGGGTTCTATTTCTATTTTGCTGGTGATTGCCTTCGCTTTGGTGGGCTCCACGAGTATTTTCTGGGGCCTCTCGAACAGGTCTGCTTTTTCCGTCTTTCGTTCCATGTTCCGGCTCGGCTTGCTCTCGGACTTCGACGTGAAGGAGGACGTATTTGGTGGTATCGCCGAGTCGTTCGGTTGGGAGTACATCGCATTTGTCTTTGCCACATTCTTAATCAGCGTTTCTTTGATGAATATCTTCATTGGCGTCATGACCAGTATGTACGATTACTTCCAGTCTCGCGCCGTCGAGTTGTTTGTCAGGAGGCGGTCGTGCACCAGCATGCATTACATGCTGCAGGTCCAGGAATGTCAGAAACTGTTGCGGCGTATGTGTCCAGGCAAAGATGCACGGCCTCCTCGAAGAAGAAGAAACTGCATGAGCATAGACTTTCGGAGCCCCGCGCAGATTGCGTGGATCGGCGCTGAGCCCCCCTGGCGGCGCCTCCGGCCACGCTCCGCGCGCTGGGGACGGGGGTCCAGCACCCATCCAAGAAAATCCGCGCGGACCTCCAAAAGTTGGTGTTCGTGCTTTTGTCTTTCCTCTCTGCAAGCGCACGCGTCAACTGTGGTTCTGCTTCAAGGACGCGGCGCAGTCTGACTGTCACGACGACGATGACTGCGATCTGTCCCTGCGGCACTTCGTGAGGGACGAGGTCAAGAGGCTCGAGGAAGACATCGAGGAGCTGAAGGGCGCCACCAGTGGCCTGAAGACTGACATCCATGTCATCAAGTGCATGGTGGAGAGGGCGCAGAGTGGGTCAGAGCGCGGGCGCTTGGATTCTCCAGCTCCTGACATCAATGTCATCAAGTGCGTGGTGGAGAGGGCGCAGAGTGGGTCAGAGCGCGGGCGCTTGGATTCTCCAGTGCTTGACATCAACTGATCATCGGAAACGCCCGCGGCGTATTCGCCCGCCGCACCCCTCGGACGCCCGGCGGGCCTGGCCAGGGCAGCGCCGGCGGTGGGGGCTCCCAGAGTGGGCGGCGGTGTCGCGCAGCCTGGAGGCCGGAGTTTTTGGAGGCCGTCTCGGAGACAATTTTGGACGTCATGGGGCCGTCTTGGATGCAATGTCGTGCCGTTTCGGGCTGCAGGGAAGCGGCGCGCCAGGGTCAGTCACGGAGCTGGAGGGCCCCCCAGCCCGTCTTGCAGAGCTGCATGGCCATCTTGAGCCTTCTTGGACGCTATCTTGGAGGGTAGGGGGCAATCCGAGAGTATGCGGGAGCATCTTTGAGGCCTGATGAGTGGCCTTCGACCGCTTTGGAGGCCTCTCGGGAGTCGTCGCGGGCCTTCTGGGACCTTCCTGGTCTGCGAGGCACATCAACGCGCGAGGCTCTATTGCGCGTGGCTTGATTTGTTTGTTGTTTCCCGAGGACCGTCGTGGGGCCATTTTGGAGGCCGTTCTGGGCCACTGTGTGGCCTTGAAGGGGAGCCGCCCTGCTGCCGTCTGAGGTGCGTCGCGGGGCCCTGATCACGTCGGCTGCGTCGCCTGGAAGGGCTTCGGTGGACACGCATGCGCTGGCGCCAGCAGGCGTCCCGAGGATCATCGACCGGCGGCCCAGGGCCCTCTCTTGCAGCAGCCCCGCGCTTCTCGCGACGGGCGCCGCGGTGTCTCGTGCGAGCTGCCGCTGGTCCCTGCCCTGCAGGCCCTGCCTCCTCAAGCGGCGCCCGATGCGGGCACTCGTGCGAGGGCGTGTGTCGGGCCTCCTTTGTTTCACACTGTCCGTTGGTCCACTGCCGCCCGGACAGCTGTCTGCTCCGCGGTCGGCCAATCTACGATTGCCGACACCTGATATGCTGGGCCGCGTGTCCCGTTGCACGGCACGCAATAGTTCCGTGACATGAGTACCTTGCCGTTGCAGAGTGTTCGCCGAGCGCAGACGCCATAAGTGAATTGTTGCTCCGTCACTCTTGAGATTCGTGACCCCTGGAGGGGGATGCCATTCTGACCTGGGAACTCCCCCAGGGCCCCAGGACTCCCCTCCCCCCCCGGCGGGGAAAGGATCAGAGGGAAGGGGCTTCCCTTCGACCCACCTCCTCTCCTCCTCTCGGGCTTCGCAGCCCCACCCCGGGGGGGGAAGGCCTTCTGACCCGAGACCCCCCCCCCCCCCGGACCCCCCCCCCTCGCGGGCAAGGATCACATGGAAGTGGCTCCCCCTTCGAGACCCCCAGAGGGGGCTGCTACTCTGACCCAGGACCTCTCACCAGGACTCCTCCTCCCCCCCCCAGCGCGGAGAGGATCGAAGTGGAGGGGCCTCCCTCCGACGGAACTGCTTTACGAGGCCATGAGGGCCCAGGAGGACTTCCCAGGTCTCAAGGCCTCCTCAGTGGGGCCAGATCGGCCGCACGTAAGACATCGGTACACGTCAGACCCAGCCAGGCCCTGTCATCATCGGCTACACGTGCGAAACTGCGCCTCGCCGAGTGCCCGAGCCGTCCCGAGCGGCCGCTGGAGGCACAAGAGACGACCCGAAAGCCGAGTGGCCCTTCGCCTGTGCGACCTCAGGCGCGAGTCTTTTGGAGGGCGCGGGGGCCAGCCCCAGTCGGGAGGCGTCCAGGTCCCGGTTTTGTGTCAGAGGGCAGTTCGGGGGGGGGGGGACACTCGCCCTCGCTGCTAGGGCGCGCCCTCGCTCCGCCGCACGCTCCACCTGGCCAGCAGCTTGGCACGGCTGGCTCGGTACAGTCGGGGCCCCGAAGAAGGAGCCCTTTTCGTTGGGGAGGGGCTCGGTGTTCCTTGACTGTTGTGCAATCTGCCTCAGCTTCCCCCAAGGTTTCCCACAGGAAATCGAAGTTCAGCTTTTGGGAAACAGGGACCTCGTTCCTGATTTGGGGTTCCTTAGGGCAACGCCCCGACTGTACGCAGCGGGGGTCGTGAAGGGAGGGGGGGGGGGGGAACACCCCCCCTCCCGTCCAGCGGCCCTCGCTCTGCCCGCCTCTCGCCCCCGCTCCTGGTGCGAAGGGTGCCGCGCTCCCCCCCCCCCCCCAGGCCCTCCCCCGGCATCGCTCGGACGTGTGCATTTTTCCTCCGGCCAGGACCATCGAGGAGCATCCTTGATCATTTGGCGAAAAAGCCACGCACGAAACTGAACAAAAACACAGGGAGTGGACGTCCGAGCGATGGCGAGGAGCCTCTCGGAGGCATCTCGGCGTCCGCGTCTTGGGGGGGCCTCGTCGGCGCTTCGGGGCGGCCCCTGGAGGGGGAGCCTCCGGAGGGGGCTGGCCGGGGGTCGTGGGCCAGCCTTGGAGCCCTCCAGCGGGCTGGCGGGCCCAAAGGGGACCGAACTAGAACCAACCGGCGCGACCGGCGCGACCGGCGCGACCGGCACCGGCGCGACCAGCGCGATTGCGACCGGCGCGACCGGCGCGACCGGCGCAACCGGCGCGACCGGCACCGGCGCGACCGGCGCGACCGGCGCGACCGGCACCGGCGACCGGCGCGACCGGCGCGACCGGCGCGACCGGCGCACCCGGCGCGACCGGCGCGACCGGCGCGACCGGCACAACCGGCTCGACCGGCGCGACCGGCACCGGCGCGACCGGCGCGACCGGCACGATCAGCACGACCGGCGCGACCGGCGCGACCGGCGCGCCCGGCGCGCCCGGTTGGGGGCCTCCGGGGGGCCTCTTGGGGCCATCTTGGGGCCTCTTGGTGCCTCCTGGGCGCTTCGGGGGGCCATCTTGGAGGGCATGGATCCAAGAAGAGGGGAGCTTTAATGAGCGCTGCTCCCTCGGAAGGGCAAAATGAGCCCAAAACCTTAGTAAAATCAATAATATTGCCTTGACGGGAGGGGGGAGCTTGCATGAGCGCTGCCCCCTCAGAAGGGCCAAATGGAGCCAAAACCGTAGTAAAATCAATGTTTTTGGCTTCAAGGAAGAGGAGGGTACCTTATCTCCGTCCCCCCGTCGGGGCCAGAATCCTCGTGAGGGGTGTCGTTTTTTAGCCCTCCGAGGAGTCGAAAAAGACCCCCCCGGCGACCCGCGGAACACCCCCTCCAGGCCCAGGGGGAGGGGGTAGGGGGAGGGGTAAACCCCTCCCCGAAGGGGAAGAAGGGGGGTTGAGGACAGAGAGAGCTCGCTGAACCACTCACGCCCAAAGGGCTGGTGGGATTTGAGGATGTCTCGAGCGAAACGCTTGTTTTTCAGAATTTGTTGAGGATGTCTCGAGCGAAACGCTTGTTTTGTGTTATAGATTGTCCTCTCCTGGGGGCCTGAATTCTGAGGATCTCTCAAGTGGATTCGTGCCCTGGTCTTGAGGATGCCTCGAGCGAGACGCTTGGTTTCACGCCTCCAGGTGGCCCAGACAGATGTCTAGCATGAGGATTTGTTGAGGATGTCTCGAACCAGAGGCTTGTTTTCACGTGTCCAGGTCGCCCAGGCGGATGTCTAACATGAGCATTTGTTGAGGATGTCTCGAGCGAGACGCTTTGTTTGCACGTGTCCAGGTTGCCCAAGCGGATGTCTAGCATGAGGATGTGCTGACAACGTCTTGAGCGAAACGCGTGTTTTCACGTGTCCAGGTCGCCCAGGCACAGCACAGCCCTCGGCACGGTACATCAATATCGATACCTTAGCATTGCAGCCTGGCATGTTGCTTGGCACGTTCCGCGGAGCGTCCCGTGGCGAGTCCCCCTGGCACGTCGCGCGGTGCACGTCCATTGGCACGTTCCGTAGCGCGTCCCCTTGGCACGTCCCACGGTGCGTGCCCATGGCACGTCCCCTGGCACGTCCCCTGGCGCGTCCCTTGGGACGTTCCGCGGCGCGTCCTCTTGGCATGTTCCCTCTGTCGATTAGTTCTGGGGCAGCTACCATCTGCTCAGGCAGCTCGAGCTTACGATCCAGATCAGTTCGGTGAGGACTCGGATGCCAGGGAGGACTCGATCCACAACGCTATATCTATATCTATAGAGAGAGAGAGAGAGAGAGAGAGAGAGAGCACAATCGCGGCATGACGCATCGCAGTTCAGCACGGCCCAGCACAGCACAGCCGTCGGCACGGTACATCAATATCGATACACTCAACTATACACTTTGGCACGAGAGAGAGAGAGCACAATCGCGGCATGACGCATCGCAGTTCAGCACGGCCCAGCACAGCACAGCCGTCGGCACGGTACATCAATATCGATACACTCAACTATACACTTTGGCACGTTCCTTGGCGCGTTCCGTGGCGAGTCCACCTGGCACGTCGCGCGGCGCGTCCCATGGCACGTCCCTCGGCACGTCCATTGGCACGTTCCGTAGCGCGTCCCCTTGGCACGTCCCACGGTGCGTCCCCATGGCACGTCCCCTGGCACGTCGCCTGGCGCGTCCCTTGGGACGTTCCGCGGCGCGTCCTCTTGGCATGTTCCCTCTGTCGATTAATTCTGGGGCAGCTACCATCCTGAGCAGCTCGAGCTTACGCTCCAGATCAGTTCGGTGAGGACTCGGATGCCAGGGAGGACTCGATCCACAACGCTATATAGAAAACAATCGCGGCATGGCACATCGCAGTTCAGCACGGCGTAGCACAGCACAGCCCTCGGCACAGTACATCATCATCGATACATTTAGCATTGCATGTGCCCGTCGCCCAATCAGGTGTCTTTGAAATGTTACAATGCCTTACATTTCTATATTCCTTTCCGGGTTCGTGGGTCGATCATGTTCTACTGCGCTGTCCCAGCGCGTTGGGCTGCCACGAGGCAGATCCTGCAGGACCAAGATTCAGCTGCGCGTGAGAGCGACCCTTCGCCAAATTGACCTTTGGTGCGGGCCCACCAGGGCTCCCTCAGGCACTGGCCCACGCGCTTGGATCTGGCCCCCTCCCTCCCCCGCAGCCCCCCCCCCAAGCTGCACACCAAAGGTCACCCCTACCTGCAGGGCCACGCCCTCCGTGCCACCGAGAGCTCATGGCAGCGTCTCCTTTCCCGATCCGCCCCAGGTTCTCCAGACACACATACCGCTACCCTTGCCTCGTTTGCGCCTCGTTGGGCCTCCTGGGAGGCCCTCGTCGCCACCGCTGGATTCGCCTCGGGAGTCTGGTCAGAAGGCACCCCAGGAGAGGGCCATGAAGCATCGGTATCGATACCGTCTGGTGCCTCAAATATCTTGCATGCCTCGCCCTGATGAGATTGGTAAGAGCGGTTTTCACAATCGTTGGCCACGATATGTTGGGGGGTCACGGCATTGTTGTGAGGTGTACGTTGATTTACCTCTCTCCTTCTTGTTCTATCTTCGAGTCGGCGACTACGAGGCGTCGGCGACTACGAGGCGTAGCTCGCGACGCACACATTCGAGATCCGATGTCAAAAAGGTTGCTCCTAATGTGGTTTCCTCGCTCTCGGCCCTCCTTTCCCCCTCCTCCATTCCTGCCCCCGCGGCCTCTCGCGTTTAATTTTGACGAGGGCCGGCAGAAGTCTCCACGGGCATGCTCCCGCAGAAAGGCACTCGGGATTACACGCACGCCCGAGCTGCTCAAGCATGTCGTTTTCCCCGCCGCTGCGTTCGCAGAAAGGCACCCGGGGTTGCACGCACACCCGGGCTGCTGACGCAGTTTTTCTGTTTACTCGACGCTTCCGCGCGCCATCCGCTGCAGGGCGGGGTGCGGCCGGGGACTTTTCCAGCGCCTTCTGCATGCGACTTCCGCACGCAGTACCGCATCGTTTCCTCTTGCTCCTCCCGCGGCGGTGCGCGCCGGCGCAGCCGACGGGCCGGCCCGGCGATGCGTCGGCGACTACGAGGCGTAGCTCGCGACGCACACATTCGAGATCCGATGTCAAAAAGGTTGCTCCTGATGTGGTATCCTCGCTCT